AGATTAGAACATAGAGATCCACAGAAATTAAACTAATTGCCCTAAGTCACACAGTAAGGCTTGATTTGTGACTTTACAAGTTATAATCTTAACCACAAGCACTGTTCCATCTGTGTGTGTGTGTGTGTGTGTGTGTGTGTGTGTATAATAAAAGTAAAAGATTATCCTAAGGCCTGCCAAAAGGGAAGGGAAAAATCTGTCCTGGAGGAAGTGCAACCAGAGTGCTCATAGACAAAAATGAGGACACCTAGTCTCACCTACTTTGAGTATGTTGTCAGGAGGTGCCAGGTCTGAGAAAAGACAAGATTCTTGGGAAAGCAGAAGGTCAAGAAAAGCAACAAGATAGAAGGACACATTGACTTCAGCAATGGGCTTGAGCATGGCAGAGAGTCAGAAGATGACGTATGATAGGGAAAAGAATTATATCATGAAATCTATAGAACAAGATGTGTTGTTCACAGGATTGCTGTGATTCACCATCATGGAGCCTAAAATAACATAAACGCATGACCAACATATATGGCTAAGAAGTACGTCAGAAGACACTCTGATACTTGCTCTTGAATTAAAAAAAATCTAAAGCAGAAAAGAAATGATGATGGGAGCTGAAAAGAAAACCCCAAGGTGTACCTCAAGACCAAGCAACGCAGTATAGTAAAATATGCAAGTACCTTTGGGACTGAGATATTTCATTCAGCATAGTGTCCTCCAGGGCCACCCATTTTATCTAATATTTCATGAGTTTCTTATTTTTCAATGCTGCATGGTATTGCATTGTGTGAATATACCACAGCTTCTCTATCCATTCTTTTGTTGATGGGCACTTAGGTTGTTTCCAACTCGTTGCTATTGTGAAAAAAGTCACAATAAACATGGGTGTGCATATATCTGCTTGGGTGGAGGTTATGATTTCTTTGGAGTATATTTCCAGTAGTGGAATTGCTGGGTCAAATGGTATTTCTATTTCCAACTTTTTGATTAAGCACCATATTGCCTTTCATAGTGGTTGCTGCGTTTTACACTCCCACCAACAGTGAATAAGGGTTCCATTTTTTTTTCACAACCTTGGCAGCATTTGTTGTTTGCTGTTCTGTTAAATTTTGTTATTCTACTGGGGTGAGACGATATCTCATAGTTGTTTTGCTTTGCATCTCTCTTAGAGCTAGGGAATTTGAACATTTCTTCTTGTGTTTGTTTGCTACCTCGATGTTTTCTTTGGTGAAGTGTCTGTTCATATACTGTGTCTATTTTCAGTAGGGTTGTTTATCTTCTTGTGGTGCTCGAGTATTTTACAAATTCTAGATATAAGTCCCTTATCTGACACATCTGCATAATACCACTCTGGTAAAACAAAACTGACATCAGGGTTTGGGGGAGACTGAGAAAGATGAAATAAATTATGTACACTGCATTCAAACAGATGAGGGAGAGAATTGATTAAAACGGATATATGATTAGGTTTTATTGTCATGACAGGAGTCCAGAACATAGGCTGCATAGTTGAGTGGACTTGGGGGAGGAATTGCATAACAATGAAAGAATTTTTGTTTTATTTTTCAAAGAAAAGAAGGAACTCGTGTGGGGGTTAGGTTGGGCAGGGAGAAAAGTGCACCAATTAATGAATGGAAATCCAAAGTCTCTGTAAACTTTCATTAAAATTAATTTAAAGATATGCAACTACTTGGAGTTAGAAACCCAAAAGAGGAGAAAACACTTGGCCTTTCTCGAGTTGAAAGAATTAAATCAGAGGACTGAGGGATTGTATGGCCAAAATATTGAATGATATAGAAATCCTTGAAAGAAAATGGAAGAAATACATAGTCTCTGCACCAAAAAGAATTGACATTTAGCCATTTCAGGAGGTAACATATGATCAGGAACCAATGGGACTGAAAGAAGATTCTCAAGTTACGCTGAATATGTATACAAGAAAAAATAAAGCAATTTAGGTGTTTGAACAAACAAATGCAGTACTGATCATTGTGCACTTGGCTATGCTAAATAATTTAGAAGACAGCTACCTGGCCAGCCAGGAAGACATCCATATTTTGCCCATTTCAAAAAATAAAAATGGTTATCCAATGGAATGCATAAATTATCGAACAATATTAATATCACATAGAAGTAAAATCTTGCAGAGAATAAAAACAACCAGATGAGCACACTGACAGTGAACTTCTAAAAATTCAAACTGGATTCAGAAGGAGTCATAGAATGAGGGACATCATCCTATATTTAGATGAATCTTGACTGAACCTAGATAATACTGGAAAGTTTTTTTATTGACTACACAGAGGCGTTTAACTGCATGGATCACAGTGAATTATGGAAAACATCGAATAGAATGGAAATTCCAAAACATTTAACTGTGCTTATTCAAACAGAACGAGGGGATACTGCACAGACTAAAATGGGAACTGTGTGCACTAGGGTGTGTATTCTTGTGTCACATCTATGAATCTAGTGGTCCTGTCTGTGGAGAGATGTACTGCTAACCCAAAGGTGGTTTTTGTCTGTGGTTCTAATCTAAGAGCAACTCGGAGGAAGAATTATGAGCAATCTTCTCTCCTGAGATTACAGTTTCCAAAAACCCACCAGAGGGTTAGCAATGAGTAAGTTCCTATTCAGTGGTGATGAAGGTTTTGATGTTTGGGGGGGGGGGTTATTATTGAATCTGCCAGCTGTATTAGTAATCTGAGAAGATGGATTATTAAGCAGAAGGTGACATGGGAATAGAGGAAGAATCATAGATAACTTGCATTGTAGAGATAACACAACTTTGCTTTCTGAAAGTGAAGAGGACTTGAATCCTTAACTTAAAGCTCAATGCTTTACTAAAGATCAAGAGCTCTCATGGCCTAGTGGCAAGAAGCTGCGCTGCAATCCCAAGGGCACGCGCTTCGAGGCCATTCAATAGGGAATGTAATCGATAACACTAAAAGTGATTTTCAAATCCTCACAATTTTGACTAATAAACAATGGCATGGTAAGTGGGAAGAAAAACTGAAGTGGTAAAGGATTTCATTTTATCTGGATCCATATTCAGCCCCCAAGATAGGAGTGCTCAAGAAATCAAACAATTTCTCACATCAGTCAACTCTAACTAAAAGCCTGTTTAAATTGATAAAAACAAGGATGTCACATTAAAGACTAAGGCATACCTGACCCCAAATCATGGTATTTTTCAAACAGTTTCTATGCATGTGAAAGTTGAACACTAAGTAAGCAAGGCCAAAGAAGAACTGATGCTTTGGAATAAACTTGAGTACCCCATGGAGTACCAAAAGAACACACAAATCTGCTTTGGAAGGAGTGCAGTCAAAATTCTCCTCACAAGCAAGGATAGTGGGACTTCATCTCATGTCCTTTAGTTTGATCTCACACACTGTGGACATGTCTTCAGGGAAGATCAATCCATCAAGAAGGAAATCGTGTTCAGGAAAGGAGTAACTCCATACAAAATTGGACCGCCCACGATGAGATGGATTGAGACAATGACTAAAGTGGCCTTACAGCTGAGATTGCAGGGTGGAGCAGGATTTCATTCTACTTTATGCAGGGTCACTAGAAGTCAGAGCCTGTTCACTGATACCCAACAAGAAGAACAACAAAGGATTTGACATTGGTTACCAGAAAGGGCTAGGCAGGGAGAAGAAAGGGGAATTCATTTCCCAGAGAGCAAATAGTGATGAAAAATTTAGGAAATAACAAGGACAGATGCACACACGATGAGCATAATCAACATCATTGAATTATCCAGATAAAAATTGTTAAATTGGCAAGTATATCATTAAATGTATACAGGGAGCTCTCATGGCCTAATGGCAAGAAGCTGTGCTGCAATCCCAAGGGCACGCGCTTCAAGGCCACCAGCTGCTCTGTGAGAGAAAGGTGGGCAATCTCCTCCCTTGTGACTAACTGCCTCTGGAAACTCATCAGAGTGGTCAGCTATGGGTCAGTTCCAAATCTACACACACACACACACACACACACACGTTAAACATATATGTCATTTGTTGTTGTTGTTAAGTACCATAGAGTTGGAACTGACCTATAACATAAGCTTGTGAATTCGAACCATGTACCTTTGTGATTGCAGCTCAGCTTCTTGCCACGAGGCCACCAGGGGTCCCTATTAAACATATATACTTAATTAACTAGATGTTCTCACAATAACTAGTTTAGACGTTGTTGAAGGGAAATAAAATTCTATTTCTAAAACATATAAATAAAACTTCATAACTGCATATAAGCATTAAATTCCTACCTGTATTATCTCATATGCCTGTGCATTCTACTGTCCTCTGAAGGAGACTCAGAAGCTACCATGGGACAACCATTGTCCTAAAGGTCAACATTCTAGTCATGATTCAGTTTTAGTACGTGAAGTGACAAAGTGGAAACTTTGCCATAGTTATATAAAGAATGAGTAATGCAATAATTGCATTACATATATATGTAAAATATATAGTATATATGTAAACGCTAATAATATATCTGGTGCCCTAGTGACAAGGAGTTGTGCTGCAATCACAAAGGTATATGGGTCGAAATCGCAAGCTGCTCTGTGGGGAAGGATGAGAAATCTCCTCCCAGTGGGATTAACTGCTTCTGAAAACCCACTGGAGGGTCAGCTATAGATCAGTTCTACCTCTATAGTACTCAACCACAACAACAATAATATATACGTAATATATGTAAAAGGAAAATAATACATAGATTGTTATTATACAAGTAAATATAGACAAATTGGTATAGTAAAAAACAGAATTTGGCTCTTAAAACTGAGTCTGTGATGATTCTGCCTGCTTGTGTCGAAGTTTGGCTCTGTTTCAACTTTCACTTTCATGAAGATGGAAATCGAAACTCACTCAGCTGAGTTCCTCAGAAGTCAGTCAGAGTTACCCTCTGACAGGTTTCTAAGAGATGCTGTTGATTTCACAGCCATATAAAGTGAGTCTCTCAGGCATGCAGGGCAAACTCCTGGGTGTCCAGTCACAATGTGGATGTTCACGCCGGTTGCTTCTGCTGGAAAGCTGCTGAATATTTTCAGGAAGCAACTAAGTTCTTTGTGGCAGACCCTGGTTCCACTGTTCTTCTGGCTCAAGACAACATTCCGTCTGGCATCTCCCCAAAGGAGACAGCAGCAGCAGGTTACAGAATCACAAGATGGGAACCAAGGGGCAGACGGCGATCTGCCCACGACGCCGACCAGTGTCAACTACCACTTCACTCGTCAGTGCAACTACAAGTGTGGCTTCTGTTTCCACACTGCCAAAACTTCGTTTGTGTTGCCTCTTGAGGAGGCCAAAAGAGGACTGTTTTTACTTAAGGATGCAGGTAAGTCCAGAATCGCAGAAAGAAATTTCAATAGTCAACAACAGGGCAGTGAGGTAAGACAAGAATGGGATGGGGAGTGCACACTGGAGAACTTCTCCAGATCTTTAAGTATCATTTCCCATTGCAGTGAGATGTTGTCCTACAAGAAAATCTTAAGGAAAATTTTGGAGCAGGCTTTTGGGTCTTCCTACATTGCAGAGTTGGCGAATAAGTAGAGCAAACGTTGATGCAAGGGCTTGTTTGTGGGGTTTGTATTTTTTTTTAATTTTTATTTTATCTTGGTTTGCATACAAAATTCATATACATTGTTTCACACTATCCTTCATTCAAATTGTGTTTCATACCACTATTCCCGTTCGTGGTGTTTTATAAAATTCATCACCATTGAACTATGCACACAACTACTCTGTCTTTCCAGATCCCTGCCAGATCTTTCCAATTTCATTTACCTCTCCCTCCACCTACCAAATTGTGTGACCCTATGATGTTCCCTGACCATCCTCACCTCCCTCTGCTCTCACCATCCCCACCTTTGGATCTTCATATATTTTTACTAGTTATTCTTCTATTTTTACAACAATGTCTTGTGTAGAATTTGTCCTTATGAGAATAAGTCCGTTCACTCAGCATTGCTCCTGAGTGCTGCCTTTTATTTCATCATGTGAATGTACCACAATTTCTCAATCCATTCGATTGTGATTGAACATTTGGGCTCTTTCCATGCTCTTACAGTTGTGACTAACATAGCTATAAACATTGCTGCACAAATCTCCACTTCTGTTTCAGTTCTAATTTTCTTGGGGTATATTCTTAGCAGTGGAATAGCTGGGTCATACGAAATTTCTACGTTCAGCTTTTATTTTCCCACCAATAATTTTCTTTTCATCCCTTGGATGAGCCTATCACATGTCAATTTTTTGTTTGTTTGTTTGTTTTTATTAATTTTTATGAAAGTTTGCAGATACTTTGGGTTTCCACTCATTCATTGTTGCACTTTTCTCCCTGCCCACCACTCCCCCCACCCCCAGTTTGCTTCTCTCCTTGAAAAGTAAAAGAAAAATTCCTTCATTGTTATACAATCCCTTCCCCCAAGTCTACTCCACTATGCTATCTTCATTCTGGAGTCCTATCATGACAATAATACCTAATCATATATTGCTCTTAGTTCTCTCCCTCATCAGTTTCAATGCAGTATACATAATTTATCCCACCTTTCTCAGTCTCCTCCCCAACCTCAATGCCAGTCCTGTTTTACAACAATGGCCCTGTGCAATATTTGTCCTTTTGTGGCTGAGATATTTCACTTAGCACAATGTCCTCCAGGGTCACCCATTTTGTATAATATTTCATTAGTTCCTTGTTTTTTACTGCAGCATAGTATTCAATTGTGTGACTATACCACAGCTTCTGTATCCATTGATTTGTTGATGGGCACTTAGGTTGTTTCCAACTCTTTGCTATTGTGAACAAAGCCACAATAAACATGGACGTGTATATATCTGCTTGGGTGGTGGTTATGGTTTCTTTGGGATATATTCCTAGTAGTGGAATTGCAGGGTCAAGTGGTATTTTTATTTTCAACTTTTAGAGAGAGTGCCATACAGCCTTCCATAGTGGTCACACCCTTTCACACTCCCACCAACAATGAATAAGGGTTCCAGTTTCTCCATAACCTCAGCATTTTGAGAAAATGGCCAGTGCTTGTTTTATAAAATATTTGGGAAAGAAGGTTTTGGAAAGAGTTGTGCTGTTCTCAAAAGTTTGTTAAATATCTGGACAGAGGAGATAATTCCTGTTCTTAGGAATCAAAGTGTGCATAGAATTGTTGTTTGGTTTGTCTTTTTCTTCAGACACAGTTAATGAGGAAAGGTAAAACAAAAGCCACTTTGATTAAGAACAGTAACATATGACTCATTTTTTATCTTTTCATTTGCACCTAAAAAGAATTTTTTTTTTTTTTAGTGGCGTAGTGACAAGAAGCTGCACTGCAATGCTGAAGTCACAGAGTTCAAGGTCAACAGCTGCTCCACTGGAGAAGGATAGGCAGGCAATCTCCTCTTATTCTATTAACTGCCTCTGAAAACTCACCAGAGGGTCAGTTATGGGTCAGTTCCAACTCAACAATACAAAAACAACAATGTAAAATTTGCAGTGGCTTTAATCTTAATACAGCTTACTGAATGAACATTTATAGTATCTAGACATCAGAAATACAATCAGCATATTTAATTCAAATGAAGCATCTATTACTTTAGATCTGCTCTTCCTTCATTTCTTGCTTTCCTATTTCTTTCAGCATCTGCTAAGCTAGCAAATTCAGCCAATATTTTTAGTTCCTCTCTCATTTTATTAATTTTTAACTAAAATATAAAATGCATGCACAAAGTTGCACATACACTAATTTGATATATATTCAGAAAGAGAATGGCAGCCAGATTGAGAGATAAAATGCCACTAGTACCCAGAAGGCCACATTCCCTTCCAACCGCTTTCTTATTCACCAAAGGCCAACTTGACTTCTAACACATAGATTTCTGTGTCCTTATTTTATTTTTACTTTATAAAAATAAAATCCTATCTTACGAACTTTATTGGATCTGACTTATTCTGCCCCACATTATGTTTACTTGTCCTTCCTCATTACCTCTGAGGGCCTGCCCTCCCCATTTCCGGTTCATCTCTTTCCAACTCTAGAGGAATAGACTTCATTTTGTCTCTCCTCTTCCAAGTGATAACACATTATCTTACTGAAAAATATGTGACTCCCCTCTCACTCTGTTGCATGACTTCCAAGAGAGTGTTGCAAAAGAAATAGATTGAATAACCAAGTCTGCAGGGTCCTCTTCTAACTCAATGTTGCCATAAGCATCTTCTATCTCGACTGCCATACGTCTTCTTTGTAGCACTTCTCATCTCCCAAATCTCATCAATTCTCTGGCCATGCTTGTCTCTCTTTCTAGAATGCTAATCATCAAAATTTCGGTAAGATTTTCAAAACTCCTTAGTATTCCTCTTGGTCCTCTTCAGGTAAAATATATGTTCTCCTTCTTCAAATATTTAGTATGATGTTGTTATGTAATGTCTAGTCAAAAAATCGGCTCATAACTTACCCTCCAGTGAATTTCAGAGGCAGTTTGATCACACAGGATGATATTCCCCATCTTTTTGCCATGGAGCAGCTAGTGAATCCAAACCACATGCCTTTGGGGTAGTAACTCAGATCTTTGCCACTATCATTGTGATTTGCTTTGCTTTTATTTTGTTCATAGTAACTGGAATTCTAAAGAGTATGAATGTCAAAAGTGAATCACAGCCTACAATGTGTCTCTGGGACCTAGAAAACTATCTGGAATCTAAGCAGTTAAATTCATTAGAACCAACTCATAGGTGGGTTTTTGGAGTCTGTGAATTGCATGAAAGGGCATTTCCCATCTTTCTCCCAAGGAGCTGTTCCTTGATTCAAGCCTCCAGAGATGTGCCATCTTTGAGTCAGCAGTGCAACTCCCTAGACTGTGCATAATATAGTCTTTAGAAATGTTTCTGATGTAGAAATAAACAAATGGAATACAGGAATAGTTAGTCCAATGGGAAAAATAGATTCTTATTTCTAAATTTGATCTGTAGCACTTGCTGTGTTTGACAAATTACATGATTCATCCAAAAATCAGTTACATATAGATAATGATTACAGATCTACAACATCAGGAAGTATTTATACATGGGTCTGTGTGTCATAGGCACAGTAGATACATGTTAAATGTGTTCATAAGGATTTTGGATTTTTTTTAAAAGTATTAACACAGGCACACGAATAAATGAAAAATCAGATTTCTCATCAATTATCACAATTGCAAGTCTTTAATGTTTTTATATCATGAACTTTCAGTTGTAGGTAAACCCTACTGTTGTTGTTGATGTTAAGTGACATCGAGTTGCAGGTGACTCGTAGCAACCCTATGAAGGAGGGTCCTCAATGCTTGGGTGTCTCTCATCCTTTCTCCAGGTTTATAGGGTTTCCAGAGGCAAGCTATTACAGAAGTGGATGCCACTCCTCCTTCTAAGTAAACCCTACTAGTTACCGTTAAAAGCTGTAATGTGGTTTCTACCCACTGTGAATGCTATTTCTGGATAATAGAGAAAATCTGTTTTAGTGATAATTAAAAATGTCATTTAAATATACATTATATTTAGATATAAATGTACTATCTGAGTGAAAGTACATATAAAATATTTCATATACTTTCTTAATTTGTAAACATTCAAGACTGAACAGAATTTAAATATTGTGAGCATCCCTTATTGATCTGTAAACCACTGTTTATTAGTTAACTCCTGTCTAAGACAATCCTGCATGAAGTGTAGCCAAAATGCTACTTTGGAGTGAGGATAGTGAGCCTTTCTTCCTCACATATTTTGGGCATCGTATTAGGAAGGGCCAGATCCTAAAGACAGACAATATTGTTGTTCAAGTAGTGGGTCAGTAAAAAAAGAAGAAGAAGAAGAAGACTGTCCTTGAGAAGAAATAACAAAGATGTTGTAGCAGTTGGCTCTAGTCCAGCAGCTATTGTGAGAATGTCTCAGAACTGGGGTAGTGTTCATTCTAGTGTTGGAAACAACTCTACATCTAACAAAAACAAGATCATAGCTATATTGCTAAATCTGTTTCTTCTGGCTTTTCTCAGTTTCATTCATCCCATCCAAATCGTCTCTTCAAACTTATCAGGGATTCAATCCATTAGCCAATATATCTTGACGCTGAGAAAGGACCCATTCTTCCCATACTGCTTAGTTCATAATTGTCTATTGGATTATAATGATCAGCAGCTACTAACATGACTAATTACAAATAATGAAAAGATATAATTTATTGTTTCCTTACCATAGACATAAGGGAGCTCTGGTGGACTAGTGGTAAGAAACTGGACTGCAATCCCAAAGCCACACAGTTCGAATCCAATAGCTGCTCTGAAGAAGAAGGATTGGCATTCGCCTCCTGTGAG